GTTGATGTGTTGTGAGGTTGTTAACCATTGTCATAGGGCAACGTGTACTAACTGTTAAATGAGAAACTATTTTGTTTTGTAAGCCTTCATCTAAAGTGAGAATAACAGCACAATTGGAAGAGCGTAGTCGATGTCACTGAACTGTGCATGTAGAAATTTTTGAAATGGTGTATCTTTGCCTATGTATATTTTCACCAAAAAAAAAGGTCGAGAAGGGAGAGGGTTGACATGTCATGGGGTTGTTAACCAATGTCATAAAACAATACGTGTACTACTGTTTAACGAGAAACTATTTGTTCTGTAAACCTTCACCTGAAGTACAACTAAAAAAAAAAAAGCCTTACCAAAAAAGTGAAAAGACAAGCTACTGATTGAGACTATATCTTTGGAAACCATATATCTGACAAGAATCTAATAACCAAAATATATACAATAAAATCTGACAACTTAACAACAAAAAGACAAATAACCAAATCATAAAATGGGCAAAGGACCTGAATAGACATTTCACCTAAGAGGACATTCAAATTGCCACCAAACACATGAAAAGATGCTCAGTGTCATTAGCCATCAGAGAGATGCAAATCAAAACCACAATGAGTTACCATTTCACTCCCACTAGGATGGCTAAGATTAAAAAAAAAAAAAAAACCAGCAGAAAATAACAAGTGTTGGCAAAGATGTGGGGAAATTGGAACACATATCCATTGCTGGTTGGAATGCAAAATGGTACAGCCATTGTGGAAAACAGTGTGGCAGTTCCTCAGAAAACTAAAAATAGAACTACCATATGACCCAGCAATTCTACTCCTAGGAATATACCCAAGACTTGAAAGCAGAGACTCAAAAAGAGACTTGTACACCAATGTTCATTGCAGGCCCTGACAGAGGAGGAGAAAAATGTAGAAGAAAATTTAAATTCACACACACACACAAAAGACCAGACTTACTGGTCTGACAGAGACAGGAGTCTCGCCCGAGACTATGGCCCCTGGATACCCTGCTAACTGAGAACTGAAGGCACACCTGAAGTCCACCTTTCAGCCAAAGATTAGACAGGCCTATGAAACAAACAATGATACATGTGAGGAATGTGCTTCTTACTTCAGTCAAGTATACGAGACCAAATGGGCAACACCTGCCCAAAAGCAAGACGAGAAGGCAGGAAGCCACAGGAAACCTGGACAAATGGACATAGGGAAGCCAGGGTATAAAGGCAAAGGGGGAGAGTGCTGACACATTGCAGGGATTGCAACCAATGTCACAAAACAATTTGTGTATAAATTTTTGAATGAGAAACTAATTTTCCACTGTAAACTTTCACCTAAAACCAATAAAAATCTCTTCAAAAAAAAAAAAGGCCAGAATATTTGGGACAGGTGATTAATCACATTTTGATACAAACTCTATTTTTCCTTTCCCTAAGAGAACCTTACCAATTTCAAAGAAGCCAACATTTTAAAATTCAAACACTGATTATAAAATCTAAAAAGCCAGGAATTCAAGCTGCAAACAACTTGAGTCTCTAAAACCACAAATTCAGAGTGGAGCCACCCTCCCTCAGAGGCAATGAATCACTGCTCACAGATGTAAATTCCCCAGAACCCTCATAAAATAATGTCTCCTGAAATTGATGCTGACATACTTGAGACTGTTTCAGACCATAGGTCATGGATTACACTCGTAGCTGGCACATGATGCTCTGTAAAGTGTAAAATGCCTGATAGGCATTGATGAACTGTTCTTACTACCAGTCTGGTCATAGATGATGTGTTAGGCTGGGCTCTCTAAAGAAGCAAAACCAGTAAAGCATATAAATACGTATGTAGAGAGAGATTTATATCAAGGAAATGGCTCACTCCGTTATAGAGGCTGGAATGTTCCAAGTCCGTGGGTCAGGATAGAGGCTTCCCCTGACGAACGTAGCCACAGGGACTGGCAAACCCAAGATAGGCAGGTTAGAGAGCAGGGCTATCATTTACAGGCTGTGAAGAGCAACAAATCCCAAAGGTCAGCAGGCAAGACCACAGGTAAGCTGCTAGCTCAAGTCCAAGAACCAGAGATTAGATGAACAGAAGCCAGATGCAGGATCTAGAATGAGCAAAAGGCCACAAGCCTTGCCAGAATATCCACTTATATTCAATGCAGGCCACACGCCCAAGGAAATTTCCTTTCAACTGATTGGCTACACACAGCAGATCACATAATATCAACTCTCAACATGGAAGTGATCATATCATCCTATGACTATCAAATCACTGAGAATCATGGCCCAGCCAAATTGACACACAACCTTAACCATTACAGTCCACCTCTTGTCAACTTGGCACCTGTACACATCTCCTCAAACCATACATAATCTCTGAATAAAGGCAACTATAAAGTCATACTTGCCCCTAACCTGGTACAATGAACACATACGCAAAGCAGAAATACTTATAACAATTACAGTCCTCATTTCTGCAACTGGTCACATGGCAGTAACTGGTATTTAGAACTATCTTCTTCCACCACCCATTCCATATTCCCTTTGCCCTCAGCAAGCACCTCAGCTGGTCGTGGTTCTTTGCCCGGTGGGGTGACCCAAACCTACATTCCTGAAGGGTCTGAGCCATTAGCAGTCATGTCAGAATTGGGTTGCTGTAGTTTTCCATTGACTTTAATCACAGGGCATGGTAGTACTAAGAGACGCCCTAAGGGATCTCCTGCATTCCAGACATACCTTCTTTCCTCCATTGTGTAATATCAATCCAATTTCCTCTTGGTAGTCAGGATCAATCACACCAGCCCGTATGGTAACTCCCTTCTTTGCCTGTTGATCCAGAGGCATAAGGAGCCCAAAGTGGCCAGGTGGCATTCTTAGCTTCCAGTCTATGGAATCAGTGATGTGTTTCCAGGTGGTAGCATTCCTCCCTTTGGAACTGAGACCTCTAGATCTGCCGAGCATAAGATCACAGGGACAGGAAGCAAAAATCTTGTGAGTGGGTCACTAGGGGTAATGGTGAGTAGTACCACTCCCATTTCCACCCCTTGATTCCTGGACCCATGAATCCTGGCTATGAGAGAAACAGCACCATATATTGGACACTGGTTT